GCACAATCTGGCGTCAGGCATTTATTGAAGCTACTGGGCATGGTTAAAACTCAAGACAGCGTAAGCACAATTATTCCAGATATTACAGGTTCCGACAAGTAAAGAATTTTTATAGTCATGCCACAAATAAGCTATATATTGATTATTGACCATTTGTGACATGCTATAACAAGAAAAAATTAAAAAAAAACTAATAGGTAGGTTTAAAATTAATAAATACAAATGTATTCTGGCAGTGAATGAGTTAATTATGCTTTCTATTTGCAAAACTCCTCAGCCTTAACAAAAAATAAGAAAAAAAGTGAATTTTTAAGAAATTTGCGGGATTTCCCAGGATATTTCCCGGGTTAAAAAAAACAACCGGGATCCCGTTTCAGAAACCCTAGTAACAGATCAGGAGATACAATAATGACAGCGAATTGTGTTTTAGAATATAATTGAAATATTGGTGGAATTGATCTGTGTGATGGAGTGATACACAATTATCCATGCATGAGAAAAATGATAAAATGGTATAAAAAAGTGTTTTTTCATATGATGGATATTGCACTATATAATGCTTGTTTTGTATTGCCAACATATGAAAAAACAAATATCAATTGATTTTCGTATGTCTGTTATTAGAGAAGCAATAGAAAAGTATCACACAAGCAGACATCTAGCCCACTGTGGTTGACTGTCACACAAAAATCCTTTACGTTTATCCACACTGCATTTTCCCAGTTTTATACCACCAACAGAAAAAATAAACATCCATCCAGAGTTTGTAAAATATGTTCAGCAAACAAAAAGCATGCAGAATCACGTTATCAGTGTGTACTATTGTAAGGAACCAAGTCCGAGCATTATTTTTTATTTACTTTTAATTCTGCTTTTTATTATATTTTGTTTGGGGCTTATGTTTTGTTAGGACGAAGGTTTCCTCACCATTCACCTTAAAAACTTTAAAAATAGAAGAGAAACCAACTCACCAACGAGAGAAAAGCGCCATAGAAAAACTCTTGCACACTTGTGCTCCCAAGTGGAAAAAAGTAGATCCGCACCGAGAAAAGGGGGGGAGACCCCACAAGCACAACTTAGGGGCTCGCTAAACCTTAAAGAATAAAAAACATTCCCAAAATTGTCAAAAAGAATAATGTAAAAGGTTAGCGAGTATTGTCAGAAAAATAGGCTGCCAGACAAATAGAAAAAGTTTATTGTTAGCAAATAAGTATGTAAATGAGGAGTGATCGCATTCAGAATTGTGACGTCACCTCACAGTATAAAGACTGAACCTCAAGTGAAGACGGACGAGGTGAGCTTCTGATAGCAACGAGCTTGGTGAGCTTCGTAGCAGTGAACGAGAGGTGCCCGATAGGATCAATTAGTTGCAAGGCGATTTTGAAGTTATTCGATTTGTGGATCGACGAATAAAGAAAGTCTTGAGAGTTGAGGAAATAGGTTCCTAGTATATTGAGGTGACGATTAAGATCTTTAATTCATAAGAATTATTGTATTTACATAAATTAAGTCTTTGATTTTGTCGAATTCCAAAGGGGAATAGAATTAAGTTAGAAAATAGATTGATTTGAGTTTGTCAGGTTGATTCTTATTGACTGTCATTGAATAAATTGTTATTTGAATTTTACTAAATTTTGTATATAGTTTATTACTAGAACTTTTATTAAATATTTGATTTGTTATTGACAAACTTTGTCATTATTTAATTCGGTGCAGGCTTAAAGTCCAGGCCTGGCATGTTAATGTGAATCTGCGTAAAGTACCTGTTAGGTAGCGGGTATTTCTGGCACACAGTCGTGTCGATAATCATTGTAGAGGGCAGAAAAATAATATAGTACTTTACACTATGTTCCATTCCATTATGCATTGTTCCTTGTTTTGAGATTAAAAACTAACTTCTGAAATAAAATTTTTTGTTTTTACATTTCCTAATATGTCTGTTTTGTGTGTGTAAAATATAAAGTAATTTGGAATGATACAATAGCCACAATTATTATTTTTCTAAAACGTGTGATCGCATTAGGCTTAACATAAAAAAAAAAAAAAAAAAATTTTAACTTGGGGTGACGCAAGACAGAGAAAATGTTCAGCATCGGATAGGTTAAAACATACCTGAAAGTGATCAAACATGGTGGTAAGGTGCATTTTCCCTCTGAAAGTGACCATCTCCATCAGGGAACATTACAGACATAAACGAGTGTATGTGATTGGCAACAATGCCACTCTCTAAACACCCAAGATACTGTTTGGTGAGAAAATCCTAAGAGTCTTTGTTTCAGAGATGATGGTACCAGCTCATCTTGCACAGACTGATGAGCTGTGATGAGTGACTTTGAATCATTCCTCATTCAAAATCACTTAAATCTTTTGTCTTACCCATTTTGACATTAACTTCCATGATAACTACATCATCTGAAGCTGAGCATTCCTTATATAAGCAACTCTGCATTCTTATGTCACTATGTCACTGTCAGACTGGTTTACTTTCAAATAAAGGGTGTGTCTAATTTTTTGGCTACTCAGTGTATATACTATATAACCAATAAAAACTGACTCCCAATTTCATGGAAATCTTTACTTCCAATATTTATTTTCTATTTTTATAGAGGACAGTTTGTTGTTTAATTAATGTAAACATTTGAAGGGCTTAGCTTATCTGCTACAATATATGAAATATACCTGTATGAGTTGCAAACAAGTATATATTGTTATTAATAGAAAAATAAACCTGTATTCTAATGATAAATGTGGACAGTTTTAATGTTTTATTCAAAGAAATAATTATTAACAAATATAAACAAATATAAATTTGCAAGATCATTGTACTATTCAAATTTGCCATTTACAAATGATCAATTCTTTAATGGCAAACTTGCATAGTAAAAATGACTTTGGTCATTTGTGTTTGTCAATGGATACACTTCACTGTCCCATTAAAGAAGAACTCATTTATTCTTAAATATATAAATAAATTAATATTACCTGCTGCTGCTTTTCTTTGGTCAGCTAATAGAAATACTTCTTGAAGAGCTTTTTGTTGATCTGTATTTAAATGTGATGTGAGTGCATTATACCAGTTTGGTTCAGCTGCTTGAAGACCTGTAAAAGAAACAAAAAATAAATTCCATTTCTTATTTAAATGATAGAATACAATCAATAGGTTATGAATTCTGGAACTTAGACTTCAAATTCTCATAATTTCTATTACTTTTAGACTGTAAGTAAGTAGCTTCTATTTTTCACATTTTTAATCATAAACTTCATAGTCTAAAACATAAAATATGCAATAAATGTTTGTGAATTACATAATCTGAAATAATAATCAAGTTCAAGTAGAAAAACTTCCTAAGTAAATGTTAATGTAAACAAAAAAAAAAGAACCCAAACAAAGCACACAATTTATTCACAAAAATATCAGTCTGTGGAGTTCAGACATAACCTGTATGGTGTCAGACCTGATGTGATAGGCTTAAAGCTATCACATCAGGTTCTGACACCATACAGGTTATGTCTGGAATCAAAATAGGAACTTGAGTGTGAGTGGTTGTGTTGGAGGTGATGAGTGTCAGTTGGAAATCAATCATGTAATACATTTAACTAGACAACAATATTATTTATTTAAACTATTTAAATGATTTGGAGAAATGGTTTCCAAAATGGTTGTTACTGCTCCCGTGGGCAGTGAGTAAATCTAGGGAGGCAAAAAGAAGCAAGTGGGCAGGAGGGGACTGCTGGAGGCAGGCCATAAGCAAAGTTGAGGATACTGACAACCTTTCCCTTTTCTCTTTTAAAATGGGTAAAAATAAACATTGCATTTAATGGTTTCCAGATGTGGAAAACAATATACAATAAGGACATAATATTGGAAATATTTTTCTAAAAATATTTCCAAGCCTTTCTCATACAATAGAATATAAGTTAGGGGTGTTGGGTATAACTTACGGGGCAGTGGCTCAAAAAAGTTTGGGAATCACTGATTTAAAGAGTTAGACAAAAGACTCCTAAACATGTATGTAGGCCTAATGGAAAGCCCTTTATTTCAGCCATTGAAACCCCACAAATGATAATTTTAGAACATCCTAGCTCTCATAAAATTTAAAAAAAATGTAAAATATTATAATATTACTAACACAATCTACATCTCTTGACTTACTATTCAATAATATACAAAATTTCTCCAAGGAAATAAAAAACTTAATAATACATTTCCTTCTGAAAAGTCAATTTATAACATTAACGTTGTTCAAAAAACTATAAAATTGCTGGATAGATTTTTTCCAATTTTTCATAGCATTTGTCATTTCACAAATAATATTTTGATGCTGTCACATTTACAATAGTAGGGTAGTTATGAATTTGCTGTGGCTATTTTTCAGTCTCTGGGAGCATATTTTAAAGCAATAAAGTAGAATCAAGATAAATACAGTCAGTTTCAAACTTATAAACACACCCAAGTTTTTTCAATAATAAAAACATCAACAATATTTCCTGTTTAATAGCACCAATTTCCTGGTTTAGTAATTCGAATTTACTCTGAATTAGCTTATACATTGATTTTAGCGAGTATTCCGGTTCAACTGTACCACTTTGAGCAAACTGATCTGATAATTCAAAATAGTCAATAATTCTAGATTTTCTTATTGTCCCACTGTTTTCTCTTATGTCTTCTTCTATAATGTCATCTTCATTAGTCATTTCCATTAAATGATTTGTATTATCAGAACAAGATACTGATATCTTTTTAGGATGACCGCGCCCCTTCTTTTGCATAGCTATTTGACTTGAGCCGGGATGAGAATGTTGTAACGGACCGGGATTAGTTTCTATTCCGGCCATAATTAACAATATTAGCAACAAATATAACGACGTAAAACACATTAACAAACCAAAGACATTAGGTTAAAATTAAAATTAATAAACAACACAACTGCAGTCCACACAAGGTCAGGCGTAAAACTCACCAGCACCGATGATGTCGAGTAGCGCCCCCCCAAAACATCAACAATAGTAATATATTTATTATATTAATATATTGTTTGCATCATCAATTTAAACATTTTCTGAAATTTTTAAATCTATCTGAAAATTATGAAAAAATTTATCAAATTTTCAATTTTTAATTGTTTCAAAAGTATAAGCACTGGTATAAAATTAGTATGATCATTTTTTTTATTAATCGCTGGTTTTAATTAGTTATCGCCACAGGATAGTATCATTCATTATTACAAATGTGGCACCAATTTTAAACAGTTTTTTGTGATTTAAAACAATGCCTCGTGGAAAAACACTAACAGAGTTAGAAATACAGGAAATTTACCAACTAAAAAGAGCAGGACAATCTTTAAGACAAATTTTGGCAGCTGTAATGATCTACATGTGTTGTGAGAAATGTATTAATTCAGAGTGAAAGTTATGGCAGAAATAAGTTATATGGAAGACCTAAACTCCTTACACCTAGAAATGAAAGAAAGGTTTTTCGACTACTGATGGTTAACAAGTTGTCTGTCAGAAAATCAGCATCAACATTGCCAATTGCAGTTTCACCAGCAACTGTATGCAATTTTTATGATTATGTATGCATAATCATAAAAATGCCAAACTTACAAAAATGTTGCCAAAATTAACACAATTGCACAAAACAGCTAGATTAAAGTGGGCCAAAGATAAGATGACATGGAAAGAAGAATGGAAACAAATAGTCTTTTCAGATGAAAAAAAAATAAATAAATAAATAAAAAAGGAATTTGGATGAACCTGATGGTTATAGTCACTACTGGCATGATTTGAGGAAGAACAAAAGTCAAAATGAGCAGACAGCAAGGTGGGGGCAGGATTTGTATGAGGGTAAAACAGATATTGTATTTACAGATGGTAGAATGAATTCAGAAATGTATTAAGAACTGTTATATCAAAATTTAATAAATTTTGGATCACTTATTGGGGGGAGAGAAAACTGGCAATTCCAACAGGATAATGTTGCCATTCATACATCAAAGTCAAACTAAAAATTGGTTTGCAGAAAAAAAAATTAACGTAATTGATTGACCATCATGGAGTCTTGATACGAATCTGATAGAGAATGTTTGGGGCATTATGAGTTATCTTGTTTATGGCTAAAACAGACAATACTATACTGTAAATAAACTGAATTTAGCTATCATGGATTGTTGGGAAAATATTAAACAAGAACAATTTTAAAACTATGTCTGATAGAGTATTTGAATTAATTAAATCAAATGGTGGACCTACAAATATTGAGACATCACAAATCGTTTTTTTTTATGCACCTGTGTTTATACTTTTGACACAATCCAATCAAAAATTGAAAATCTGTGATAATTTTTTTTTTGTAATTGTCAGATAACTCTAAAAATTTCAGAAAATGTTTAAATTGATGTTGTAAACAACATACTAATATAATAAATACATTACTATTGTTAATGTTTTTGTTATTGAAAAAAGTTGGGTGTGTTTATAATTTTGAAACCAACTGTAAACTGCACAATTGAAAAAATGTTCAATGAATATATCAAACAAATACTCTAAATAGCCAAAAATAAAAAACTAATGTTGTATTTTGATATGTGATCATATTTATGATCTATGAAAATTTATAATTTAATCAATCAGTAATGCTTTAAAAACTTCAAATGCATCTGTAAATCTCTATTAATCATCATAATATATACTGTATGCTTAAATTACATACAATTAATTAAATAAGCATTTTGCAATCTTAATTAAGAAATATTAAATAATAATATCATTTCTACATGAGTATTTTTATCTCACAAACTTACTTTGTAATAAGTCTTTAAATATAATATATTCATCTACTGGTGTTTCCTCTTCATCTAATGGAGTAGTATAACTTTCTAGAGCCGTTTCTTCTATTCCATCTTCTTCCTCATCATCGTCATCATCATCATCATCATCATCTTGTATGGTTGTGGATGTAATTGGAAAAGGCGATTTCATTTTTGCTTTAGCTGAAATCCTTTCTAAGTATTCTGTCTCTTTTTCATCAATATCGTCTTCATCACTTTCTAAAACATCTAAATATGTTTTTATCATAAATCTCTCTAGTATTTAAAATTAAAATCAGAAATCTTAAGCAGAAAAATAAATACTTTTAATCTGTCTCTTTTTCATCAATATCGTCTTCATCACTTTCTAAAACATCTAAATATGTTTTTATCATAAATCTCTCTAGTAAATAAAATTAAAATCAGAAATCTTTTTCGAATTCGAATTTTCTAGTTAAAATACTTCAAGATTCGACGTACAAAAAATGCAACAGACAAATTGCACGAGTAAGAAGATTCGTCCAAAAACGATCGAACAGATTGAGAGGATTTCATCTTCAAACGTATGGCTTTGCAGGAAATACTACTCATTATGCAAAATACAGAGAACGAATCCCACAATTTAACGGAATGATTTCGCAAAATTATGAAGAGATTACTACGTTGCTCTTGCGAAAATTATTTTAATTTTTTTTCCTGGTATTTATAAAGTTTGATGCGACAGATGTTTCGTGATGTTTTGTAAATATTTCCGGCTGCATTATATCGCAGTTGCCGAGTGAAGTAAAAGGAGGAGATGCAACCTGAAGAACTATGAATAGAATTGACATGTAGTACTTGATGGCGTTATCATCTTAAGATTCTGATCAAACTAACGCATATAAACGNTATATATATAAATATACTGTATTGTATCCTTTTGAATGATAAATTTAGAAATATATATTTAGTCAAAATTTTTATACTCAATTGAATTTTGAACAAAAAACATTAGTTTGTTACCATGCTGCTGCATTTCATTTATCTTATAACTATTGTAATAAAAATATGTGTGTTAATGCTACAAATTCAAAAATTAAAGCCAAACTACTGCTTCTTTAATTTCTCCTTCCAACAATTGATAAATCTGGAAAATTTTTATTAAGTTTTAAGAATGTTTGGGCCAATTTTATTTCAGAACTTTCTAAATTATTTGATAAATATTAATTTAATTATAATTTAATAAGAGATTTGAGAAATTTAATACAGTTCATTCTGAAGTCATATTATGAAGGAAGAATTAGTACAGGCTATATTCTATAGCCTATATAATATAGCAGGAATATATTCTATGTAAGATTAACAATTACAGCAAACCATCTTTAGAATGAACATATCTCTGTATAGAAATGTATAACCTGTTATACAAAACTTTACAATGTAAAATAATAGAGGAAAATAAAGTGTTTACATATTTAATGATTACTTACAAGCATATGCCCATTTCAATCCATCAAATAAAAGCAGAATAGAAGGTATTATTTGTTGTGCACATTCATTTACAATTGGTGGTCTTGTAGTAGACATAGTTATTAATGTACATAATCCTAATACACACATTTTGCGATCGTGAAGTCTGAAATATTGTCAATGCAGATTTTAAAATTTCAGTTTTGTAATTAAATATTTAATTATTTCAATTATTCAAATTCAATATAATTACCTTATAATTAACAAAATTATAATATTAAAAATTATTTTTGTCTACAATATTAACTAATTTATAAATTATGATTTGTATGATATTGTATCAGAAATTCAGTTTTTTAGATCTCTTAATGTGCACTTGACACCAAATTATATCTTAGTACAAATACAGAACACAATCTTTCAGTATTAAACTTGAAAAATATTACTTATTTAAACATAAACCCTAGTATTTTGACAAAGAATATTCATCATCTTCAAATGAAAGATTCTAAATAGTATATGGAATTATTTCTTTATAGTAATTCAGATAAAGAATCATTCCATGTTTGCAATTAAAGAATGATTTTAAGAATTATGAAACGTATATTAAAGATTAAGATCATTATTTAGTTCCTCAAATTCAAAAGCAAGAAAACAAAAAACTTGCTTCATATAGATATTAAATATGTAATCCAACCTTGGTCATATTCTTCTTCTTCGTCTTCATCTGAATCTTCTCCGTCTTCTTGGGCTCGACCTATCATTAAAATACATATTGTGTTCAATACTTTTTTAAATATCAAATATAATTAGTGTATTATTTACAAAAACTAGCTATAAAATAAGATACTTTTTATTACCAATAAATTTTATATGATATATCAATTCATTCAGTAAATATATGCTAGTCCCAAGCAAAACTTTTGACATAATTAAATTAATTTGGCTGAAGAAATATACGCTTTTCCCAGACTAACAAATTTCCATTACATCAACATAAAGCAATATGATAAAATAATACATGTGTTCAATGATAATTTAATTCTATATTAGTCTAACTCACAAACTATCGAAACATTTTAAATAATTATATTTTGAAATTATTTATATATATAAATATACTGTATTGTATCCTTTTGAATGATAAATTTAGAAATATATATTTAGTCAAAATTTTTATACTCAATTGAATTTTGAACAAANAACATTATTGTTTTTCAAACTATTGAAATAAATTATGTAATTTTGTTCTAAATGTTTTTAGGCTTGTGATATTTACAATAAACTTTTGAATTTTTTAACTTATTGTAATTTTTTGTAGCAATATATATATTTTGTTTTATGTATCTACTCTAGATAAGGTAAGCCTCATCCTATGTCAATGAAGATTAATTGAACATGATATTTTTTCTGTAAATTTTTACTTTCTAACACACAAATTTATTCTAGTAAATTTCAAATATGCTTTCACAAATAAGGAACATTTGACTTTATAAAAGTCAAATGTTCTTTCACAAGGAACAAACAGTCTTCCTTTATGAAGACCTTTGTCTCTGTAAAGGAGGACTGTTCCTGTGCTTAAACATGGACATGTTATAACAAATTTAGTTTCTTCCATGTGTTTTTAAAGTATGTTATATTGTTAGTTAGTTAGTTTCTTTTACACACATGATGGGGTTGTATTTTTGTTGCAATATTTTCTAAAATATATTTCAATGATAATATAACTGTTTATAAACAGGACTGGAATGTGCTTCAATATAATAAATCTAGCAATTTTCAATTACCATATTTTATGGCACATAAGATGCAACTTTTGTATTAAAAAAAAAAGTATGTCCAGCATATTATATGTAAAGCTGCAAGCTCATATGCAAATGAATTCCCAAATGGTCTTACAGTAAATACTTTTTCTCAATGAATATTCTATGCTGAAAATGGATGTTTTACATATGGTAAACATGGTAGTCCATTAGAACAAAATATCATAACTACTGACATAAGCAAAGACACATGATTAACTGCAGAAGCAGATATTTCGTTAGAAAATATATTCAAAATGTTTCTTATTGAAATTTTCAATTTAATTTTAAAGTCAATTCTCACCATATATTCTGTAATAAATGCTCAACAACAGCCATTACAAAAAATTTTAATACCAGCATAAAATTTTGATTACCTTCATTGTACTTTTAATGTTTTAATAAATTAAAGTTACATAATGATGATAAAAACTTAATGTTTGGAAATTTCATTAACTTTTCAAAAATGTAAATTTTACAATATATACTTACCCTAAAAAACAGTCTGTATCATGAATCCATTGCTTAATGAAATGAGAAGTAATTGATTCTGTGGAATTTGGCATGCGAATTTTTTCTAACGTATCAATTAGTAGATTTGAATTATAGTAAAGTGCTGCAATTACAACCTAAAATTTTAAAAATATATATACATTTTTATAAAATGATTGCAAATAAAACAATTTTAAATATTAAAATTAAATTATTATTACACAAACTTTAATGATTCCAACAAATGAAATCATTAAATGAAGAAATGATGTAGTTTTTAAACTTTAAACAATGTCTAGTAATAAAAACTTTCTTTATCTTTGATATTAAATATTAAATTTATTAAAAGTAACATTATGAATATACACAAAAATTGATCAAAAGAAACCTGTTCAAGTAAATTTATTAAGACAGATGAAACAGTTTATCTGTTGTATGGCATAATTAAACAAAGCAATACATGAGAAAGCTTGGAATGCACTTTTGTTTGTTAAAAAAAAATGTCATCACAGACATTCAGACATACATCCCATTGCTTGGGGAAACAACAGATACCATGCACAAAGAACAGTGTTGGTTGGTTCTTGGTGAACCATTGGGTGTCTGTTTCCTTGACTTATGCATCAAAGTTAAAGCATTGTCTCTTAAGAGTTTTTTTTTAAAGGTACAAAAAATAAAGTCACATGGTAAGGTGATGCAGAATTTTCCAACCTTCTTGAGCTAAAGCATTCTGCACAGTATTCACAACCTGCAGTTGAATGTTGTCACACAACAAAATCACACCACATGATAACATACATGTTCTCATGTTCTTTATTGTTTTACATAGCTTGTTCAATGTTGTATTGTAGCAATTGTCATTAATGCTCACATGAGGATCTTTGAAGTCCACCAGCAAAGGCCTTGAAATGTCAAAAAATATGGTCATCATAACTTTACAGATGGGGCCTGTGACTTGAATTTTTTGTGTGACGGTGAGCAGGGGTGTTTCCATTGCATGCTCACTCATCTACTAGTTGACAAAATGTAGTGCTACCATTTTGAGCCATCTGCAATAATACATGACATAAAATCATCACTCTCCACATCATATTGCTGCAAGTGGTGCAAACCCATATGTTATACCTTATGATAGTCACAAGCAAATATTCCACTGTGCGCACACTTTCTGATACTGAAGCTTCTTTGTTACTACCATTTGAACTGTTCCAAACAATGTATGAAATTTTTCTGCTAAAGAATGTAAGATTCCAAGATGGTCATCACTTACTGCTGCATCAATCTTCCTGATGGCTTTGTATGTCGCAAAAAACATGCTCCTGGACACGTTGTGGCAAACCTTCCATTTCCTGACATTCTTCTCAAAACATTCGGGCCCAATCCATCACTGCTGTTTTCAACACACATTTGTCGCCATATACCACTTTCATTTGGCAACAAATATTGACTGGCCAACATCCTCCTTCCATTAAAAACAGAATAACCATTTGCTGATTGATCTTGGATAAATTCTGAATAACTCCATCCATGTTTTTACTACTACACACCAAAAACAAAATGTGCGAGATGACTGAACTTCTCCCCACTTATTCATTGGTATATGCTTATCACACCACACGTGACATCATTTCCCTCTCCTTGTGCCAGACCACATGACATGGCACAAACGGGTTTCATTTGATCAATCCTAATGTATTACACAATTACAATTCAATTAAAGGTAGATTTAAATTGCATAATTCAGATTTCATAAAATTAAAAACTAGATAATAAATCACCTGTAGGCACATAGTTCTCAATTCTGATGTTTTTACTTCTCTAGTCAACCTTTCAAGAACTAGTTCAACAAATGATGGAATACACTGTAACAATTCAAAATATATTTAATAATTAAATCATGTAACATAATGCTGTTAAAATCATAGTTTAATTTCTATAAGAATGAATAGCCTAAAAAATTAAGCAGCAGTAATTTTTTCACCTAAAAAATTAAGCAGCACTGAATTTTTTCACTAATAAATCAAATATACATAAGATTAACCAAATCAATTACATAATTTTCTAAGAGGTATATTTTTAAGTTTTCCTTAATATTTAATTTCTTTTTTTTCCCACACTAATTTTATACTCTTTATTCCTATTAACAAAAAGGTAAAATACAAAATCAACAAAAGAACAATGGAAAGTTTTTATAAATTAAAATCATTGAATACTTTTCAAAATGATTTCCAACTGTTTTACATAACTTATTTTTGACGATACAGTACACTGTAAGAACAAATCTGCATGGAAGAATTATTTTGCTGAAGTCAATCCTTAAAGTTCCATTTTTCTCCTATTTTAATATTAAAATTATGGCTATTAATTTAACTTTTACCTACAATTATGGAAAATATTTCATTTCTCTTGTCTACTTATTTATTTTACTAAACTAAGTTCCATATTTTCAATAAAATGACTACCCAATTTTAGTTTGATTTCATTTATTTTAGTAAATGGTATTTGGATTACAAACATTAAAAAACTTTTATCAATAATATATTTTAAATTAAATTAGGAGGAAGGTTACCTTTGAAAAATAGTGAATTACAACTTACAGAAGTTTTAATTCACTAGTTTTAAAAGGCAATCTTCCTAATTTCAACTTTCAACTTTGAAAGTTTAAATTTACTTCAAACAGACTGATATTCATCAGAAATCTGAAACTGTCCTAATAAAGGACAAAAACATTCCTTCATGGTAAATCATTGAGCCAGAAACCCATGAGTTAATATTTGAAAATTTGAAATTGTTATTAGTGGAATATATAACACTTTAATCAGACTTTACTGTTAATCGGAAGATAAAGTATAAATAATTAAAAAGTACACAAATATTTGTGAAATATTAAGACATTCCAATTATTCCATGTATATGATACGTTTAATTTTTAAAAGCTTATAATATTAGAATAAAATCTTCATGCTAATAATAAGAATAGTAGTAATAAATATTTACTTTTGACTTTCTTTTTTTTTTTTTTTGAATCTATTTGGGACTGTTCCTATAAGAGAATGCATTTTGAATCTCTTTTACTTTTGACTTTCTTTTTTTTTTTTTTTTTTTAACTCTTTCTACCCTGTGAGCATTAAGAAGGCCTCTTTCAGTAAGCCCATTATGAATTTGGCCAGGCCCACAATGGAGCAGACGGGTGGTGAGGGACGGGGCCGGACATATCCAGACAGACCACCCCTCAAAAAATTCCTGAGGATTTTTTGACCCATTCAGATTCAATCCCAGGTCCCCCAGAACGGTAGGCTGCCACCTTGACCATGCAGCCTTCTATTTAATTCTGACTAAAAATATTTGACTATTTGAAATTTTATAATATATGAGTATTAGACACTGTAAAAAAATTTCTAAATGTATGTATAATTATAATATCAACAGAATTAATGTTTTCAGTTTATAGAAATTTATACAGATCAGTCTTAACATTTTCATTATGTAGTTCACAATTCCTGCCAATATATAATCATTACCTGATCTATTTGACCTTTACACTGTAAAATTACTACTTCTAGTAGTTTAGCAGCATGACATTCTGCATCCTCACCAGCATCACCATTTAATATCTACAATTTTAAAAGAAATGTAATAAACTATATTATTTATAATAAGTTTTACAGAATAAATTTTAAAAAATACAAATTATATATTTAATATTTTCATTAAAATGTAATCAAAGTTAAATTAAAAATAAAAACATCCTAAAATGCAATGTTTGCAATTCATATACTAAAAAATTAAATTGACCACAATAAAGGAACATTTTACTATCAAAGCAATCATATTAATAAAAAATGTCTGCATAATGAATAATTAGCTAAGAATCAAAGAATTATTATAATAATCTGTTTTTATCTAAGGTATAATATAGAGATAAACAATGCTCCAGTTAAAGATAATATAAATATAATTTAAATTCCACAAGTAGCATTTTTATAGCTATACAGAGTGTCCAAAAAGTTATGCAATGAGACATTTGTAATGACATTAAAATTATACATATAGCATTGCATGCAACACTTATAAGTCATCCATCTGGTACCAACTGGTTTTTACCATATGGTATTGCATAAACTTAAAAATTTCATACGCATACCCTATGTATACCTAAAATGTCATTACAAATTTCTCACTATATACAGGTCAACCTAGACTTATGTTGTTTCGAGTTACGTCATTCCCGATTATACGTCGTTTGTCAAAAAAGTATATGGAAAAATAAAAATCAAGTTTAAGTCATTTTATTCGACTTTACGTCTGTCCGCCACAAATATTGAAGTCGTAATATCACTAGAAAAGCGTTTAAAGCACATAAAATCATATTAAAATATATACATTTACAAGTATGTACTGTATTTACAGTACA